AGCTGTTATGGGGCTCCACAGTTAGTGTGTTTAACTGAGGGCTGAGGTTCTGCTCAGCTGGAGGCAAGATGCAGCAAGAGGGCGTGTCATAGACTCCTTGCAATAAGAAAAGCCTTTAGGTATGAACTTGGTCCCTGCTTAACTGGCCTGAACCACCCAGTCAAAATGGCCTTCTAAGGAACCTCCCATTCAGCTGGCTTCTTTGACAATTGTCCCTTTCTTTTCGCAAAGAGCCAGGAAGGGTGCTGTGGGTGCTGCCAGAATTCCAACTTTTTCCTGGGCCTTCACATACTTCATGCACCCCACTCCCCACACCCCTTTTCCTGCGTTCTCATTCCCTCTGTCAGTCTTTCTTCTTAGCATTTCTTCTCCTTCAGTGCTTCTTCCATTCTGGCCTCCCATCCATGCATAGACCCTCTCTTTGTGCATCCTGTATTACCTCCCCAGATTCCTGCCAGCTTGGTTTCTCTCCCCCTTGTGCTGGACCCCTTCCATACTTCTTTGTGATCCTCTGTACTCTATCTATTGTCTGTTTTCATCTAAGCTCTAAGATCTCACTCTCCCCCTGTCATTCTCTACTACCTTCCCAGTTGGATGTCTCCCCCTCACTAGGTCTTCCCTTTCTCCAGGGAGCCTCTCCATTTCTGGCATCTCCCCATCTCTTCCTAAGCAATTATCTCCTCTTCTCTCTCTCTCACAGCCCATCTCTAGTTCCTTCCCCTCCCCCTCTCTAGACCAGCACAGCTAAGTCTTATTCCATTTTTAGATGACTGATTATGATACTTACTAGCTTAACTTTATTCACAGCTGGCACGTGCAGCTGTTCTTTCCTTTCCTGTACCTCCACCAACACACTCAACCTTTTCAAGAATACAAATTCCTTACACAAGGCATGTCATGTCCAGATAAATTTGTATTTTAAAGAACAAAACAACAATTATGCTAGCAAAGATGTAGGGTTAACAGGGGCCCTTAAGCTTTCAGTACACCAAAAAAAAAAAACATTTTTTTGCATGTTTACAGAATACACATTTGTTTCCACAGATGTGGGAAATGTTACCATAACAGTTAGGACTTTTTCACCAAATCATAGACATAGATATGGAAGTCATCATCAAACTTGATGAAATACACAGGGGGTTTGGCTTCCACTTGGTGAATGACCATGCCGATACGTTTGGAGCCATCTTCTTTGGTATATTCCACATGTTTACCTATCAGGCCATCTACAACTCCTCCTGGCTCCCTCTCTGCTGGAAGAGACTCATTGGACTCTGGCATGATACGGAGGTCACCTTCTTTAAAATCGTCTAAAAGCTGGTACATATACAAGACAGGATCTTTCTCATAGGTAATATAAAAGCAGGCTTTCATGATAGGTGCTTGGGCTAAGACCATCCCCCTCCATTCATCCTTAGAACCGTGCTCACCCTCAAACATATGTTCCACTGCTTTGCCAATTATGGTGTTTGCAAGGTTTGCATCACTGACTTGAGATGATGTCACCCTGTCAGAAAGAATTTTAAGAGACAAAACTCTTTCATCTCTGTGAAGTTCCAGTCCATAGACACAGTCAATTCCATCATATTTCACCAGATAAAGAGAGGGATTTATAGGCACCTGATCCAGAACGGTTCCTTTCCACTGGGTGATGGGCTCATCACCTTCCTTCCATCCGTGTGAAATTCGGCAGCCCACGATGTTCCTGCGGGGTTGGGAGGAAGGTCTGCCCCTCTGCTTCTTTTGGGAGAATTTTTTCTTAGACATGTTTGCAGACCCAGTGGCCAGTCCTGCAGCTGCTCTGGTTTGTTGCCCTTCGGTCTCTTGTGCGTTGGGGGTCTTCATGCCTGCAGCAGGAAGAGAGAGGATAGAGAGAAAAATTCAACATGTAGTAAGGTGAACTTCTTCTGATAGCGATGTCTCTATGCACTCTGTGCCAGCGCCAAAATTTCCTCCCTGAGCCCCGCAGCAATGCTGGAAATCCTGGCTGCATGCCTGCAGTGCCCTCCCTCCTAGGTTCCTTAAGCTGCGCGGAAGGGCGGGAGCAGTGGTGGTGCTGGCTGGGTAAGGAACTCTGCAGGAGAGGGTGGGCTACCTCCTTCTTACTCAGCGCTCACAGCGCCCACTGCCCCCACTCCCCCGCCACTGGCGCCCACTCCCAAGCCTCTGCAAAGCGCCCATCCCTCCAGCGCCTTGACCTGCACCCACTGCCCTCTTGTCCTGAGCGCGCTGCAATCGGCTGCCCACTGGCCCTCTCCTACCCCAATCCCTTTCTTGTTACCCACTGCCCTTGCTTCCCAGTGCTCACCTTCAAATCCTTTCCTAGCTCCTAAGGCCACCCCGTTTCCCTATTGCCCAAGCACTCCTCCACCCCACCGGGTGCCCATCCTCACCCCATATCTTCCCCCCACCCCGGAGCCCATCACCCTCGTTGTCCCTCCTCCATTCTGGTGCCCACCAAATGGCCTTGCATGGCCCGGGGTCTCCAGCCTCAAGTGTGGAAATCAGACACTTCACTGCTGCCAGTGCTGTAAGCTTATGGTGAAGGAGGATCCGCAGGCCAAGAGCTGGATGCTTGCAAGAGCTGGGAGGGGAGGATCTTTGGGCGAGGAGGGCAGAGAGGGAGGTGAAGAGGATGGCTGTGGTTTCATCAGTGCTTGGTTGTCTGTCCTCAGTCCCCCTGTTGGATCTGGTGACCCCTCTGTCACATTGAGCACCAGCTGCTGCTGCTGCTGCTGCAGTCTCCTCCTCTTTTCTGTATAGGACTAGGTTCGCAGTTTCCTATTAATAGACAGGCCTCTCCTTCCTGCCAGACACTGCTCAGCCTGCTTTCCAGGCCTTGGAAATGCTTAGGAGCTCCACATCTGGTTTTCAAATTCCAGAGCAGTGACACCTGTAATTGGCCCTTTCCTCCCCTGCTCCTTCAGTCCATGACCCCTGGAACTGCCCCATAGTGTTTCCAAAGCTGTAATCTCTTATGGAAGCAGACTGTTAGACTGTCACATCTTTCTCCTGTGGAGCAACTGGTGGATTCAAACCACCAGCCTTTTGGTTAGCAGCTAAGTGGTTAAGTGGTGAGTTCTAAAAACTCTGATCTAGTTTCTAAAAAAAAAAAAACAGTTGTCATCGAGTCAATTCCAACTCATGACGAGCCCATGTGTGGTGAGTAGAACTGTGCCCCATAGGGTTATCATGGCCATAAACTTTCAGAAGCAGATCACCAGGCCTTTCTTCCAAGGCACCTCTGGGCGGGTTTGAATTCTATTTGTGCAGCCCAGGGATTAGTTCCTCATAAGTGGCATCAATTTTGCATCTTGTTTCTATTCCTTTTTGTTATTTATAGTAGTTAGCACAATATCCTAAAATTCTGAAAACAACCAATATTATTAAGATGTGCTATTAGGCAGAATATTTTCAGTAACGTAACAGAAAAGCAAACTCAAACTGATTCAAATAAAAAGAATTTATTGGCTAATGCATTTGAAAAATCTAATACCTATCATGGTAGATTTAACCTGGGCACTCAGTGATGTCACCAAAAACCTTGGTTTGTTCTGTCTTTTCTCTCTGATGTCAGTTTCAACTTATGTTACAATGTTGCTGTCAGTATCTTTGGGATGTATGTGATTTCTTATTCATATACATATACAGAGAGGGCCTCACTCCAGCAGCTTTTGATCAAAATTATTTTGTTTTATTCTGATTGGACCATCTTAGGTAATTTGCTTGCTCTCTTAATGTAAAAGAAATGCTATGCCTAAGTATCTTAGGTTTGGTTTATGTACTCCTTTCAGAAAAAATCACATTAACAAAGTGGATCCATATGGTGAATTGGCTTATGCCAATCAAAGACCATCCCTCAAGTTGGATATGGGGTCATCTCACCAAACTGGCATGGGCGCTACACAATGAAGGAGGATTGAAGAGGACACTGGTGAATTAATCAACAATGTCCACTGTGATTCCAGGTTATTACTTTGAAATACAATCTAAAATTTTCTATTATTCTTCCAAAATTTATATTTCTTTGATACTATTCACAGATATGCCACTGCCAAGGGCAAATTTGTGCATATTCCATAGACTAAAAAACCAAAACAAATCCACTGCCATCAAGTAAATTCTAACTCATAGTGACCATATAGGACAGAGTAGAACTGCCCCATAGGGTTCCAAGGCCATAAATCTTTATGGAAGCAAACTGCCACATCTTTCTCCCAAGGAGCTGCTACTGGGTTTGAACTGCCGACTTTTCAGTCAGCCAAGCACTTTTACCACTGTGCCACCAGGCCTCAACTTTCATTGACTTGTTGTTGTTGTTAGATTGTTAGATGTTCTCCAGTCAGTTTCAGCTCATGGTGAACCTATGTAAAACAGGACAAAACACTGCCCAGTCCTGTGCCATCTTCAGAATACTTTCTATGTTTGAGACCTTTGTTGGAGCCACTGTGTCAATGCATCTGGTTGAGGATCTTCCTCTTTCTCACTGACCCTCTACTTTACCAAGCGTAATGTCCTTCTCCAGGGATTGGTCCCTCCTGATAACAGGTCCAAAGTACATGAGACGAAGTCTCGCCATCCTCGCTTCTAAGGAGCATTCTGGCTGTACTTATTCCAAGACATATTAGTTTGTTCTTCTGGCAGTCCATAATTCAAAGGCATCAATTTTTCTTCGATCTTCCTTATGCATTGTCCAGCTGGCGCATGCATATGAGGCAACTGAAAATATCATGGCTTGGTAGGGCCCACCTTAGTCCTCAAAGTGACCTTTTTGCTTTTAACACTTTAAAGGGCTCTTTTGTAGAAGATTTTCCCAGTGCAATACATTGCTTGATTTCTTGACTGCTGCTTCCATGAGCATTGATTGTGGATTCAAATAAAATGAAATACTTGACAACTACAATATATTCTCAGTTTATGATGTTGCTTATCGGTCCAGTTGTGAGGATTTTTTTTTTATATTGAGATGTATTCCATACCGAAGGCTGTAGTCTTTGACCTTCATCAGTAAGTGCTTCAAGTCCTCTTCACTTTCAGCAAGCAGGGTTGTGTCATCTGCATAATGCAGGCTGTTAATGAGTTTTCCTCCAATCCTGATGCTGCGTTCTGCTTCATATAGTCCAGGTTCTGGGATTATTTGCTCAGCATACAGATTGAAAAAGTATGGTTAAATGATTCAAACCTGACACACACTTTTCCTGATTTTAAACTATGCAATATCTACTTGTTCTGTTTGAAAGACTGCCTCTTCGACAATGTACAGGTTCCTCATGAGCACAGTTAAGTGCTCCCATTCTTTGCAATGTTATTCATAATTTGTTATGATCCACACAGTTGGATGCCATTGCATAGTCAGTAAAACACAGGTAAACATCTTTCTGGTTTTCTCTGCTTTCAGCCAAGATCCATCTAACATTAACAATATCCCTCATTCTACATCCTCTTCTGAAGCTAGCTTGAATTTCTGGCAGTTCCCTGTTGATGTACTGCTGCAACCGCGTTTGAATTACCTTCAGGAAAATTTTTCTTGCATGTGACATTAATTATATTGTTCGATAATTTCAGAATTCTGTTGGATCACCTTTCTTTGGAATGGGCATAAATAGTAGGAGCCAGGTAGCTGTCTTCCAAATTTCTTGGCATAGACAAATGATCACCTTGAGCATTGCATTTGTTTATTGAAACATCTCAATTGATATTCCGTCAATCCTGGAGCACTGTTTTTCGTTAATGTCTTCTGTATAGCTTTGACTTCTTCCTTCTATACTTTCAGTTCTTGATCATATACTACTTCCTGAAATGGTTGAACATCAACCAATTCTTTTTGGTACAGTGACTCTGTGTATTCCTTCCATCTTCTTTTGATGCTTCCTGCATAGTTCAATATTTTCCTGGTAGAATCTTTCAACATTGTAACTCAAGGCTTGAATTTTTTTCCTCAGTTTTTTCACCTTGAGCTATGCTGAGCTTGTTCTTCCCTTTTGGTTTTTTAACTCCAGGTCTTTGCACATTACAGTATAATACTTTACTTTGTTTTCTCTAGCCATCCTTTGAAATCTTCTGTTTAGCTCTTTTACTTCATTATTTCTTTCATTAGCTTTAGCTACTCTACATTTGTCTTAGTTATCTAGTGCTGCTATAACAGAAATATCACAAGTGGATGATTTCAATAAACAGATTTATTTTCTCACAGTCTAGTAGGCTACAAGCCCAAATTTAGGGCGTCAGCTCCAGGGGAAGTTTTTCTCTCTCTGTCAGTTCTGGAAGAAGGTGTTTGTCATCAATCTTCCCTTGGACTAGGAGCTTTTCAGCACAGAGACCCTGAGTCCAAAGGATGTGCTCTTCTCCTGGCACTACTTTCTTGGTGATATGAGTTTCCCATGTCTCTCTGCTCACTTCTCTCTTTTATATCTCAAGAGATTGGCTCAAGTTACAACCCAATCTTGTAGACTGAGTCCTGCCTCTTTAACATAACTGTTACTAATCTCATCTCCTCAACATCATAGAGATAGGATTTACGACACATAGGAAAATCACATCAGATGACAAAATGGTGGACAATCATGCAATACTGGGAATCATGGCCTAATCAAGTTTACAGATATTTTTGGGGGACACAATTCAATCCATGACAACATTCAAGAGCAAATTTCAGAGTCTCTTCTGAAACCCATTTTAGTCTTTTCTTTCTTTCCTTTCTGTTTAACGACCTTTTGTTTTCTTCATTTATGATGTCCTTCCACAACTCATCTGGTCTTCATTCATTAGTGTTCAGTGTGTCAAATCTATTTTTGAGCTGGTCTCTAAATTCAGTTGGGATGTACTAAAGGTCATATTTTGGCTCTTGTGGACTTGTTTTAATTTT